CCCCTGGCACCCGGGACACAGGCTTTGCTTTGTTCCAGCCACCGGCAGACACCCAGGACCAGGGCTGCTTCCCTCCAGCCTGGGTCCAGCGCTTCGTCTACAATGGTGTCTGGAAGGACTTTCAGTCTAATTAGCATATTACCCTTTTATTGTTATAGATAAACCAACAGAAGCAACAGGCCACAATTGCTCCTTGAAGTGGGAATTTTTCAAATATAATTTAAGACATGTTAAACTTTGTTTCAGAAAGTCTTTATTCTGTATATCAAGCAACAGAGTTAGCAGTTCAGGAAGAGGTTATAAAAGTTGTTCTGCAGAGGTTTTTGGCTTCCGCACATCTGAGATTACACTATGTTTATTGCCAAGAAGTATGTGTGAAAATCCCCTAACCTGAGCCACATGATGGCGCTTTTAGCTCTGTCAGCATTAACCATTCTTTTCACACCAATGTGATCTTTTAAATCACAATTTGATTCTGAACATATGTCCTTCTTAGTTTTAACTCCTGATTTTTTTCTGTTACAAATTCAAGAAATTTCCCTCTTTCAAAAATTTGTCAGAGCCTACAGTCAACCAAACAGAATTTATAAATACAACTATGCAACTACCTGAATGAATACACTGTCTCACAGCAACAAAACCATATGTGGTCTGTTTCTGGCTACCAAGTGGGTAAAAAGTCTCTAACATGAGAAGCATCATACTGCATCAGGAGCATTTTTGTCTCTGACGGGGCATCAGGAAACATTTTGTGAGAAGCACTACTTTTCTCCATGACATTAATATACTCCACATATTTTTTCATACCTGAATAATAAAAATGAGGGCCTAGAAAACCTCTAAGGCCCTTTATGACTCCAAAGCCTTGATAGAAATATGGAGCTAGAATTCATAAATTTATCTACATGTTTCTTGATCTATTTATACATTTTTATTGTGATAGTGAAATTATGATATAAAACAATAAAAAATTTTGAGACATTATAGATTTTAGTATTTTAGAATCTGGTGAATAAGTTTATATTTGCTTTCATAGTAATCTAAGAAAGACCAAACTCTGTCAAATTCAGTATTCTATTTCCAAGTGGTGTATAATATCATGGTGTTCCTGCAGATGTCAACTTCAAGTTGGACATAGAATAAAGCTCTCCTGGTTCCTCATAATTTAAAAACTTTGACCCAATCCTTTATCAGTCTTCATCTTCACAAACTGAAGTAACTTTTATTCTAAATTCTTAAATAACTATAGAGACTTCCCTACAAGGACAAGATAGTATAAGTTTCTCTAGATAATCATTTAAATTTAATTATTTCTATAAAGGAGACATTTCCTTACTAGAAGACTTTCACTGTAAAAAGAGACTAAGTGAGAGCTGTAAAACATCAGAACTAAAGGGAACTAAGACCACAAATGCAACTTTCTACTTTACAAATGAGGAAACTGAGGCTTAGTGTTGATAACAGACTTTGCTATAGTATAAGAAGAAACCCTAAGCTAGATGCAGCAAAGCAGTGCTCTTAAGACTGCAGATCAGGACTAACCAATTCAGTGCTACCAGCATTTTTAAAAAGCAACAGAGTACAAAATATCAGAGGCTTTTCATGTAGTGAAGATAAAGTATTATTTCATAAAACTTTTGTTTCAGTTATATGTATGTGAGGAATCATAATGTAAAATGCATTTATTATAGTAGTCAAAAGTTTTGGAAATCAGTGCAATAAAATATCAATTCTTTGAGTGGATTTTAAAATCTATTCTTATTTTAAAATTATTATTATTAAATAAGTACTCAATAAATATTAATAATAAGATAACTATCATTAAAATTTGTGATTTATTTTTTATTATGATAATTCATTTTTAAGCTAATAAAAAATATCTGCACTAAATACTAAATGCCACCATTTAAAAGAATTTTTCCTGCTTTAAAAGAAAATAGGTTCTGAATATTATAATCCTATATCAATTTGAATAGACTTTCTTTAAAATATCACATTCCTGTTGAGCTTATTATATGTGCAATAGCTAGACAAACTCTTAAAATATTGACTTCTAGAATTCTGATCATTGGCACATAAAAATATCACTCTCTGTGAAAACACAGTGACCTCTAGTGGACTCATTAAATAAACTGACATAATCCTTGCCCATAAGAATTTAGAAATCAAGGTAACTCTGATACTTCTAGGTATAAAATACACTGATATGGTTATATACTAAAAAGCATTATACATAGTAAGGGCTATAGTTGCATTATGTACAATGTGACAGTGTATATTGGTTACTTACAATGTGACAATATAGATTGGTTACTTACAATCAAGTGGAATATGATGAAAGAATCCTGGCCTTGCTCAGAATCTATCAATAGCTTAAGAAATAAATACTCTTTCTGAGCTTATTTGTTAGTGGTTGGATTAAATTACCTCTAAGGATCCTTTCTGCTCTTAAATTATAATCCTTTCTTTAATTTATTTTGTATACCAATGCCAGATTAAATTCGGTTCAAAAACATTTGATGGCTCCCCAGGACTTGAGGACATACCAAACTTAGCTTGGCCCCTTGTTATCTATCATTATCTTCTATTTTTTACCAAAACATAACCTCTTTTTTCCAGTGAGCTAATGTCCTCACTATCTACTTCCAACATCCCAACCCACTCCTGCAAGTTTATTTTCTCATATCTGCTTAGAGTTTCTTATTGTGCAATGTTTTATTCTCACTACTTACATAACAGGTCACTATTAGAATAAGTACAAATTTGTTTCACTCATGGGCTATCCCAATGAAATTTAAATTTACAGGTTGGACTTTATACATGTGTGTAATCTGCTATGTACTAAGCACATACTACATATTTTGAATGTAAACTCAATTGATGCTTAGATTAGGGAAGCCAAGGCCATTTTCATGTTTCTATTTCATTTTTTAAATTTTTATTATTTCTTAAAATATATTTTTATTGATTTCAGAGAGGAAGGTAGAAGGGAGAGAGAGATAGAAACATCAATGGTCAGAGAGAATTAGTGATTGGCTGCCTCCTGCACCACTTTTTGGGGGTTGAACCACAACCTGGGTATTTACCCTTGACCAAACCCGCTAGGGCCATCTTTCTTTTTTAGTGAGGTAAGGATGTATATATAGGTAAGGTAGAAGTTCAAGAGCCACAAATAAAAAGTGACAGGGTTTCATATTTCAGAAAAAGTGGGCATTCTGAACATAGAATGGTAAGATTTTAGAAAAAGATTAGAGGGAAGAACTATTTTAAATTAGCTAAAGGAAGTAACTATGACTATATTTGAAGAAAAAAGAGATGACAGAAAAGGTGGTTTGGTAAATAGTTTTGAAGCAGATATGAAGATTGGCTAAATGAAAGGGCTAAATTTAAGTAGAGAGATATCTTTGGATGTAGGGGTAAGGACAATGTAAGGATACAGTGGTTTTAACAGTAGAGAATGGAATATATTGCTAATGTAGGGCTAAGGAAGGTAATGGACAGCTCTGGTGATATAAATGCTAAGTAAGGAGATAAAGAGTAAAAGTTTAAAAGGTGCTCTCAGCTTCCCAGTCAACTTGGACAATGCTACCATCTTTTATCCTCCAAACAAGAAAGTCAGATGGCTGGTGGGAAAATGACTAACAGTTTAGTCTTCCTTATGTTTAATTCAATTAAAAAAGGCCATAGGGTAATTAATATATTTTACATATTCTAAACCACACGGGATGGATCATCAGGCAAAGGTGTCTGCCTACAAAGATACTGTCATCAATACAATTAGGGCTAACTGAACCTGCAGTAGCATGGTATTACACCATTCATCAGGTAAGACCAAGAATTTTTTTTAATATATTTTATTGATTTTTTTACAGAGAGGAAAGGAGAGCGATAGAAAGTTAGAAACATCAATGAGAGAGAAACATCGATCAGTTGCCTCTTGCTACTGGGGATGTGCCCGCAACTAAGGTACATGCCCTTGACCGGAATCAAACCTGGGACCTTTCAGTCCATAGGCTGACGCTCTGTCCACTGAGCCAAACCGGTTAGGGCTAGACCAAGAATTTTGTTTTGTTCTTTTTAGGTAAATATCTTTCATCAACTCGCATCTCAGTATATTTATGTCATTTACTCTATTTAGAAAAAATCCTAACTATTTTACCACAAATAACAATGCCTAGTGTTGTTATAATATTCGCTATCAAACATGAATTACTTAATATATTATCTCATTAAGCCTGTGTTTGGAATTTCTAGAAAATATAGTTTAATTATATAACAATAATTTTTGTTACTGATTTTTTATTTTATTATGCCATTTGTCCCCACAATAATAAATTTTATCTCAAATTCAGCAACTACTAAAACATTGTAAATGCTTAAACATTTCCCAAGAGGCAAAATCCCAGGAATGTCCATAAACCTTTTTGCTAAAAATGACTCTCAGTTGGGGTTCTTTAAACTTATAAAATATTATACTGATGTTTAACAAAGATTGACCAAATTAATAATCTGAACTTTTAAATCTTAGAACATAGTTTCCTAACAACAAACTGAGTTGAGTTAGATATCAAAATCTAGTATCTTCTGAAAAAAGTTAACATTCTTACTCTAGGACTACTATATTAATAGGAATATTGAAAGAAATAACTGGCGATTGCACCTTTCTATTCACTAGATGGGATGCTACCCGATTCATGAGTCACTGAATACATCCAATTATCTTTTAAAAAGAAAGAACGAACCAGTGTAGAAGGAAGCAAAGTTCAAATTTTGTGATTAAAGCTAAAACAACACACAAAACATTTGCATGTATTAATTTTCTGATTTTTAAGTGTAAAATCCTTAATAGTTATTCTTAAAATATAACAATTTCCCTACAATTAAAATGTATACAGTGGTAATATTCCAAAGAGACTTAGATCTATTTGCTATATACCTCAAAAAGCAGAAGGAAATTTTTAAAATATATGGACAAATGTATATACAATGATTTAAATTACCTTTCTTCTTCTCGAACCCATACTGGAGTTTTAGGAATTTGTGCTTCAAAAAACTTAGATGCTTTATAACAAAAATTGCTGCAAAAACACTGAAAAAAATGTAAACTGGTTAGTTTTTTTTAATTGTGAAACACAGCATATGTACAGAAGAGAGTATAAAACATAAATATGTAGTTCAAAAAAAAAAAGAAAACCCATGAATCTACCACCCAAGGTAAGAAAAAAGGTAAGACCTTTAAAGGCCTCTATGTGCCCCTCTCTGATGGCACCACACTCCACATTCCCCAGAGGTAACCAGTTAAATTTTATTGCTCATTTCTTTGCTTTCTCTTAGTTGTGTTGCTTATACATAACCCTATCCTATATACTAAGTATACCGGTTAATAATGCGGATTTTTTCTAATAGCTGGAGTTACACATGTGTTGATATATATCCGATTTGATAGTATGCTATTGTGTTGTATTAACAAGCTTCAAAACTTCATATGTCAAATTTGCTGAAGATGTTAATATCATAGATATTTTTACACTTAAAAATGTTGAATTTTGTGCCCCCAAAAAAGAGTATTTGCGGGAAGTTTTAATTCATTACTTTATTTTGAAGAAAAGTGCTGCTGAATACTTTGGGAAGCTTATGGTGAACATGCTCCATCTCAAGATACTTGTGAACACTGACTTAAACGCTTTAAAAGTGATGATTTCGAGGTGAAAGACAAAGAACATCCAGGTTAACCGAAAAAGCTTGAAGACCAACAATTACAAGCAGAATTGAATAAGAATGCGTGTCAAACTCAAAAACAACTTGCAGAAAGATTAAACATTGCTCAGCAAACAATTTCCGATCATTTACAAGCAATGGGAAAGATTTTAAAGGAAGAAAAATGGGTGCCACATCAACTGAATGAAAGACAAATGGAAAACCAAAAAGTCATCAGTAAAATGTTGCTTCAACGGCACGAAAGAAAGTCTTTTTTTGTCTCAAATTGTGACTGGTGAAGAAAAGTGGATTTTGAGAATCCCAAATGCACAAAATCATGGGATGATCCAGGTCAACCATCAACATGGTCTGCAAGGCCAAATCTCTTGGGAAAGAAGACAATGCTCTGTGTTTGGTGGAATCAGGAAGGTGTGATGCATTATGAGCTTTTAAAACCAGATGAAACAGATAATACTGATAGCTACCAACAACAAATAATCAATTTGATCTTAAAACGACCAGAATGTTCCAGAAGGCATGGCAAAGTAATTTTGCTTCATGATGATGCACCATCACACACTTTAAAACCAGTTAGACTCGTTAAAAGATCTTGCCTGGGAAGTATTAACCCACCCGCTGTATTTACCAGACCTTGCTCCTTTAGATGGCACACACTTGTCCCTATCGATGGCACACACACTTTCTGAGCAGCACTTCAAAACGTACGAAGAAGTGGAAAATTGGGTCTCTGAATGGTTTGCCTCAGAACAAGAAAAAAGTTCTATTGGGACAGTATCCACAAATTACCTGAAAGATGAGGAAATGTGTAGCTAGTGATGGGCATTACTTTGAATAAAGCAGTTTTGATGTTTATCTTGAAATTATTGTGTTTTCTTTGATTATAAAATCCGCTATTATTAACTGGTATACCTAGTAATTAAAGGTTAATATGCAAATCGACTGAATGGAGGAATGATCAGTCGCTATGACGCACACTAACCACAGTGTTCAGACCTCCACGCAGGGGAGCAGGCCTAAGCCATCAGTCAGACATCCCCTGAGGGCTCCCGGACTGTGAGAGGGCACAGGCCAGGCTGAGGAACGCCCCGGACCCCTGCTCCTTGCTGAGTGCATGAATTTTGTGCACCAGGTCTCTATTTTGTGTGTGTGTGTGTGTGTGTGTATGTGTGTATATATGTGTGTATGTATATATGTACATATGTGTATATGTACTTATATACTATATACACATACATGCATACATATACATTTATATATATATACATATACATATATATGTTCTTATAAAATTTATCAGTTTTCCCTACTTTTAAACTTTGCCTAAATGGAATCATATTCTTATATATTCTTGTCATTTTTTAATGTGTTTTTATTGATTTCAGAGAGAGGAAGATTGAGATAGAAACATCAATAATGAGAGAGAAACATTGATCAGCTGCCTCCTGTACACCCCTACTTGGGATCAAGCCTGCAACCCGGGCATGTGCCCTGATCAAGAACCAAATCGTGATCATCTAGTTCATGGATCGATGTTCAACCACTTAGCCACATTGGCTGGACATATTCTTGCCATTTCTTATTCCATATTATGTTTTTTGAGATTCTTTCATGAAATTGTAGCTTATTCAGTTACACTATATGCAAGTACTCTACCCTTTATTGTTTATGGACAATTGAGTTGTTTCTAATGTTTTTGCTATCAGTACAGTGTTATATAAACTTTTTTTTAACAAATTTTACAATTAAAAATGTAGTAAAATATGCCAAATTTACCATCTTAATCATTTTTTAAGTTACTTAATGTCACTGAATCATTAGTTCAGTGACATTAACTTTCTCACTGTTGTACAATCATTGCCACCATCTACTACCTGAACTCTTCATCTTGCAAAACTGAAACTCTACACCGATTTCTGCCTCCTCTGACAACCACCATTCTACTCTCCCTCTATGAATTTAATTACTCTAGTTACCTCCTATAAGTAAAATCAGGTATTTGTCCTTTTGTGCTGAACTGTTTCATTTAGCATGTCTCTAAATTACATCCATGTTGTAGCATGTGTCAGAATTTCCTTTTTAACTTTTAAAGGGGGATAATATTCCATTTTATGCATATATTATAATTTCTTTATCCATCTAGGAACATTCATATACACAGCGTGTCCCAAAATATGTATATACACTTTATCAACTGATAACTCAATTTTGAAAATGAAGTGTATTTTAATAAAGACTGCTTTTATAATTATTCCAAGTGTATATGTATTTTTTGGAGGACACCCTATATACTTGTGCACATTAGGAAGAATTTCCTCAGATATACACCAAAGAATAGAAAGGCTTGGCCATAAGAGCATGAAAATTTGACTTTACCAGATAATGCCAAACAGTTTCTCAGAGGTTGTACCAATTTTTATTTTATCAGCAGAATACAGTTATTAATATTGTCAGATTTTTATAATTGGTGGCAAGCTCAATCAGCCAATCAATATGTCTTTTTCACATCCCTGGTGGTCAGTGCACACCATAGCGACTGGTCATTCCACCATTTGGTCAATTTGCATATTAGCCTTTTATTATATAGGATTTTCCCATATGTCTTTTTTTTTAAATATATATTTTATTGATTTTTTAGAGAGGAAGGGAGAGGGATAGAGAGCTAGAAACATCGATGAGAGAGAAACATCGACCAGCTGCCTCCTACACACCCCCTACTGGGAATGTGCCCACAAACAATGTACATGCCCTTGACCGGAAACAAACCTGGGACCTTTCAGTCTGCACACTGATGCTCTATCCACTGAGCCAAACCGGTTTCGGCTCTCCCATATGTCTTGCCAAAGGTTTGTCTTTTACACTTAGGTCCTTAATTAACCTAACATTGATCTTTGTGTGTATATTGAGATAAAGGTTGATTTTTATTTCTTACATAGGGTAACTAATTGTGCCAGTGCTATTTATTGATTCATCCTTTCTTCAGCAATCTTTAATATTGCTGTTGTCATGTATCACATGTTCAAAAAATATAAGCCTGTTTCTACTTCTCTATTCTGTTCCATGATTTACTTGCCTGAATTTATTCCAATAAGCACTTTTAACTTTTAAATGTTCAAAGATTAATTAAAGCATAAGCAAAGAGTTTTTTAAAACATCTTAAATGGAAATCTATAAATGAAACTTTTAATGTGACTATTTTCTAAAAGGCAAAATTTTTAAACAGTTGTATGTGTGTTTTTTGTTTTCTTTTCTTTTTTTGTTAATCCTCACCTGAGGATATTTTTCCATTGATTTTTTAGAGAGAGTGGAAGGGGAGAGAAACAGAGAGAAACATGGATGTGAAAAAGACATATTGATTGGCTGACTGAGCTTGCCACCAAGGTACGTATAAATATCCTTGACCAGAATCAAACCCGGGACCCTTCAGTCAGCAGGCTGACACTCTATCCACTGAGCCAAATTGGCTAGGGCTAAACAGTTGTTTTTAGAATCATTTAGTATAAGATTAAAAATTAAGTGCTAAATTGAAAATAAACTTTAAACTTACCTTTCTTTCAGTAATATCATAGACCTTATTGGTTTTGGTAGAAATTTTATATTTTTGTTTTGGTACCTAAAGAAAAAAAAGTATGGCTTACAGAAGAATTCAAGTAATAAATTTGAACTTATGTTACAAATTATCTATATAGCATGTCATTCATTTATAACTTCAGTTTCTTGTTCTTTCTACAAAGTAATTCATTAAAGATAAAAATTAAAAGTCTATATATTTTAAAATTACTTACAATTCCTAGCTTCTTGTGACATAAGGGATAACCACAGAGCTTGATAATAGAACGTTCATCCACAACATCACTGTAGTGAGCAGGTGTGATTAAATTCCCCTGTAATAAAACAAAAGGGGCATCCCCCAATCCCAGATTATTGAAAAAAGCTCATATCAGCTCTCTAGGCCCCATAAATCTCATCTGAAAATATTGAGATAACAACACTATCTATCTCATAGGTTTGATGTTAGAATTGGAGGAGAAATACAGAAAAAGAACTTAGAAGAGTGCTCAACATGTAGTAAGTACTCAAAAAACGTTAGCATTATTTAAAAAGAACAAAAACATCTTTGTAGATTATATAGTTCATAAAAAAAGTCTGAGGTAGAAGGAAAAGATGGCGTTATAGTGAGTACCAAAGCAAAATACTGATAGTATATTTTATTTTAAAAATTATTATTATTAAAAAAATAAAGCACATAAAATAACAAGATATAATTTTACCTATTTTTAAAGCATAATGTAAAAAAATAAAGTATAACAAAGGTCAAAGTGACTCCAAAACAAATTTTTGTGCAAAATCTTCCAGCTTCTGAAAAAACTGTACCAGAGAATGCTGAAGTGATAGTTATAAGCTAACAGCAAATGTTTTTCCATTGGTATCTTCCTCTTCAAATAATCTTACTTTTAGAGATTTTTGAAGATGTTTTTCTGTATTAGCAGAGACTGAACAACTTTTTATTGAGAGTACTATAAGGTACTTATTTCAAATGAAGCATTTCTAGTTTGTGTTTGTATTTAGAGTCATTATGGTACACAGATTTTGATGCAGTTACCTATATCAATTTAAATTTATCACATTTATATTCCTCTTATTTAGAAAAATCTATGAGCCACATTAAAAATTACATTTGCAATAGAAGCTCTGAGTTTTAATTTTCTATTTCTTTTTTATCTTAAGGATTATGAGGACATAATATAAATTTCCATTCACAAATTTAATGTAATAAAGCCATTAAAGAAAAAAAGCAAACAAAAATGCAGATTATAATTTTCTTGTTAAGTGTTAAATCATAAAGGATCTATATTTGAGGTTTTAAAAAATCCAAATTAATGGAATTACATTAACAAATATAATCAGTTACTAAAATAGGACAATATACAGAACATGGAAAATGACACTGGAATCATTAGTGCAAAAGATGAAAATAAAATGAGAATAGCAGAGTGGTTAAAACAATTACTACTAAGGGTTGAAATATTTATGTTATTCTTCATTAGTGCACTTAAAGTCATTATAAAAGAAATACATGTGATTATTTTTAATGCACGAATTATATAGCATGTTACCTGCATGTGGTGACTAAGAACAGATTTCAAGATTTCAATAATGCAAGTAAGTTTCACGTTGCACATATTTAAAGATTTTCTACTACAAAAATAATAATTTGTGAACACATACACACTCTATTAAGAATTCTTCTGTAATATTTTCTTCTAAAAGCTGTTCAACAATATGTAGAGCTTTTCTCTCAAACTCAATCTTCTTTCTCACAGTCTCTTCTAGTTCTGCTTTCCTAAAATTAAAAAAGAATTATTTAAAATGTAACTTATTGTATTTATAAGTTTTATATAGCCAATTTTCTGTTTTAAAATACACTAAGAACTTATTTGCTACTTAAATTTATATTTTTAACTAGAGGCCCGGTGCATGAAATTCATGCATGGGGGGGTGTACCTCAGCTCAGCCTGCACCCTCTCCAATCTGAGACACCTTGATCCCCCCAACTGGGATCAGGCCTAGATGGGCAGTCGGACATCCCTCTCACAATCCAGGACTGCTAGCTCCCAACAGCTCACCTGCCTGCCTTCCTAATTGTTCCTAACCGCTTATGCCTGCCAGCCTGATCGATGCCTAACTGCTCCCCTGCTGGCCCAATTGCCCCTAACTGCCCTTCCCTACTGGCCTGGTTTCCCCCAACTGCCCTCCTCTGCCAACCCTGTCACCTCTAACTGCCCTCCTATGCAGGCCTGATCACCCCCAAATACCCTACCTTGCAGGCCTGGTCCCTCCCAACTGCCCTCCCCTGTTGGCCATCTGGTTGTGGCCATCGTGTGTCCACATGGGAACAGCCATCTTTGACTACATGGGGGCGGCCATCTTGTGTGTTTGAGTGATGGCCAATTTGCATATTACTCTTTTATTAGATAGGACGCTGTTACTTTTGACTCAATACTTTTCAAAAAGGAAACAAGCTACTTGTTGTACTAGATACATAGGTCAGTCATAAAACAAGATTATTTGATTTCTAGAACCCAGAGTACAAAGAACTCCAGAGATTCCTACAGAAAAGGAAATGAGGTGAAATCTTTTTGCCAGTTACAAGTTTATACTCTATTACTTTTGTGGGTAACTAAAAACGAAGGCTTTTCCTTTGAAATCTTTATAAATAAGAAGAGATCAGAGAGGAAAAATATAATTTTGGTTCTTCTTACAAGTAAAACTTTATTTGTGTCAAGTCTCAAAGGTCAACAGATGGCCCAGTTTGACAAGAGAGAATCATATTTGCAAAGAAGTGTTTATTTACTTTTGTTGTAAGTTTTATTAAATGACTGTATTGATATAACTATGGGTTAAGGAAACAGAATTTTCCTAGAAAGGCTGGTCCTTGTCCTGGTACCAAAGGGGCTCTGTCAGCTTTTGCTTGCCCCACACATTATGAACATAAAGCATGGGTTATCAGATCAAACAATGGTCCCAGACAGTGGTTCTCAATCATAGCTCCATCTGATGAGATTTTTCAAAAATATACTATATCCAGGTCACACTGCAGGCTCATTAAATCAGAATCTCTGAGGGTGGGGTCTGGTTATTGGTGTTTTCTTAAACGTGCTCCAAATAATCATAGTGTGTGACTGGATTGAAAATCACTGTCACAAGACCAAAGATACCAACTATCTTGGTGATGCATTTGGCTCCTTTCTAGCACTGGTTTCCACTTGCCCCTTGAACCAACCTTTGCTGACCTCCTGAATCTTGACTTGGCTCTCATATCTGGACACGGAATGTACTCATCTTTTCTCCCTACCTTCAAAATGTTAGGTTCTAATTCCTTGCCTGGAACAATATGTTTTACAAAACAATTTGGAGAACTGGCACAAGATTGCTAACTAGAAACACATAGGACTTAAAGTAAGTATAAATTTGCAACTAACACCTGTTCTCCCATCATTTTATAAAGGCCATGTTTACATCAAAGAAGTATAAAAGTTGCAGATGCAGTTAAAAAGCAGTTCTTCATACTGATTATATTTATATTTAGCTTTATGAAAAACATTATTTTATTATTCTCATTTTGCTGCCTACCAATGAAAGTTATGTATGTCAGGTACTAAGATCAGTAAATAATCGGCATTAGGAATTGCTGACTTAAGCATCAACTATCTCAAAACCACAATAACTTTTATTAACTGATAGATACTTACAGCGGCTTCCCATGGAGAGCCAAGTCTCACAGCTGTCCTCTGTCAGAAATATTGACAGGGAGTGTGGTATACCGCAGTGGTTTTTTGTCTCAACATTCCTTTACACTCTTAAAATTAGAACTTTTGCTTATGTAAATTATATCTGCTGAAACTTACCATATTAAAAGTGAGACAATTTTAAAGCATTTGTTAATAATATACTTGTTACATGTTAATATAAATATTTAAATATTTTTATTTCAGAGAGGAAGGGAGAGGGAGAGAAAGATAAAAACATCAATGAAGGGGAGAATAATTGATTGGCTTCCTCCTGCACGCCCACACTGGGGATGGAACCTGCAACCATGTGCCTCGACCAGGAATCAAACTGTGACCTCCTGGTTCATAAGTTGGCACTCAACCACTGTGCCATGCTGGCCAGGCTATGTTAATATATTTTATATAATAAAACCATAATATACAAATTGACCAAATGGTAGACTAACGAATCACTATGACGTGCACTGACCACCAGGAGACACACGCTCAATGTAGGAGCTGCCCTCTGGTGGTCAGAGTGCTCCCACAGGGAGAGCATTGCTCATCCAGAAGCTGGGCTCATGGTTGGCGAGCACAGCAATGGCGGAGCCTCTCCCGCCTCTGCTGAAGGTGAGCAGCAAGGAGTGAGGGGTTCCGGACTATGACAGCCCGGGACTGTGAGAGGGCACAGGCCCAGCTGAGGGGACCCCCCCACCTCAGTGCATGAATTTCGTGCACCAGACCTCTAGTTTTTAAATAAAAAATTTAGTGTGAAAAGTGGAATTGTTTTATATTTTTGAAAACTTTATGGCTTAAAAGTATTCACAGATCGAATGTGGATCTGCAGCCTCTGTGGCAGCTGTTGATCAACCGTTGCGTCTCTCTTTCTCTCCAGGCTTTCCCAGCAGCCTCACCTCTGTTTCTCTCCAGGTCTTTGTGGGGGCTGCTGATCAGGACCAGAGATGCTGACTGGCATAGAAACTGACCAATCAGAACCAAATCTGGGTGAACCATGAGGAGCCAATGGCTGCCTAGGAGGCAGAGCTTTTGATGCTGACTGGCATAGAAACTGACCAATCAAAACCAAATTGGCCAGCAAGGGAGGGCAGTTGAGGGTAAGATCAGGCAGGCAGAGAGGTTAGGGGCAATCAGGCAGGCAGTGGAAGCCAGCAGGGGGTGAGATAAGGCCAGCAGGGGAGGGCAGTTGGGGGCGAGATCAGGCCAGCAAGGGAGGGCTGTTGGGGGGCCTAAACTGGCAGTTAGATATCCCCCAAGGGGTCCCCGATTGGAAAGGTTGTAGGCTGGGCTGAAGGAACAACCCCCTCCATGCATGAATTTCGTGCACTGGGGCCCTAGTAAATTTATAAAAGATCACTCCCCTCAACAACTATTTGGTTATCCCCATGGCTATTTCATTGTTTCATCGTCTTGAATGGTCTGTCAAAATACATTTCAGCTTGTTTATATTCTGCAAATTATAGTGCTCAAAATAAGACAATCTCCTTAGGTTTGTGATCAAATCAGTGTTAAAGACAGTTTCAATATCTTAAAACAAAGACAGTATAATCAAGCTACGCTAAGGGAAAATGCAGGTATCCCTCATTTTACGCTTTATTGCACTTGACAGATGTTGCATTTTCAAGACCTCCACTAGCAAAAAAAAAAAAAGATTATGACTTGCTTTATTGTGGTGGTCTGGAACTGAACCTGCATTATTCATGTACTGAGATATGCCTGTACTCATTAAAGCAAATCTCAAATCCATCCAATTTCTCCATCCTATATGATCTCCATTCTAGATGATCACCATCCTTAAAACTTTTAAAACTTAAATTTCATCACTTTATTGAAGTTTTCTAATTTGCACATAGAAAATCTAAATTGCTCACATAACCTACCAGGTACCGTATGAATGGAATCCTGCATTTCTAACCTTTTCCCTATGCTCCGTTCTTGCCTTGCTCAGAATGCTGCACACCACCCGGAACCTCTCTTCTTTCTTTATGTGACCAAACCTTTTCTTGTCACACACACGGCATCTCTGGCTGGAGGTCTCTCCCCTCACTACTCTGTCTGGTTAATGCCTACTTAGCCTTCAGGACTCAGATTATTTACTTTCTGAGAAACCCTCCCCTGAAAACCCACCACCCTCCCTGCCAACCTCCAGCTAAATTAGATTCTGGTTACGAGTTCCTACTACTTTATGGCGCTTATCATTATTCGTAATTATGTATTTCTTTGGGATAATTTAATCGGTATGTCTCTGATCCACTAGATAGAAGCTGTGTCTATTCTATTCAAAATTATATCCCCAGGACCTAATAGGTCTGGCATATCTTACACTAAGTAACTTGAAAAAAATTAGTAAATTAAGGTCAAAGCCAACATTTCATAAAATACCACAGATATGTATTTTTAAATTCATACCCACAGACTATTACTATTCTAGAAAACTTTTGTGACAAGAGATAAAGCCAAGAGACAGGACAGGAGAACTTTCTGCTGAAAATATGCACCTTTCATTAGAAGTCTAAAAGTGTCTGATTTTGGTTTTCTTAAAACATGGAGCAGGGGGTTGTAATCGTCTATGTGAGAATTTATAATGCTTCCCAGATCTTCCCCTTCTCATAATAATTTTCTTTTAAGGTAGCATCCATTACTGTTTTTAATAATGGTTCAACTAATAGGAGATAGTCAAGTGAATACAGTTATCCAAATATTAGTAGTTCTCATACCTTTTAGAAGCATCTTCTTGTTTCAAGGTACTCCTCTGTTTAGCACCTAAAATTAAAACAAAAACAAACAAGAAACAGTAGGTTTTGTTCTACCCAAATACATTAGATTACAGGACAGATTCCTGCCCAAATAAAGTGCCATTTTTTCCTCCTTTCCACATATTCCATTTCCAATCCTGTGCGTAAATCAAGTGAAATGGAAAGGGAATCCAATTCGAATTTAATTACTCCAGAACTGTTTCTGGTTAACATGCATCTCTTTCGGGGTTGAATTTTCTCTTGTAACATAGTTGCAGTTATGCACTCCTGAGAATCTGGGATATGGGTACTTTTAGGGGTACCCTTTCTCTGTCCCCCAAATAATTCACTCCCCTAAGAGGGGAGGAGGTTCGCTGATACCCCAGGGGAGCGGGGCCCCAAAGCAGCAGTGCGACTGGAAGGAGGACCTGGGCCCGGCTCCAGGGCGGCTGCCCAGCCTGGCGACCCCAGCTCTAGGCCCCCGGGCCTCCACCGCCCTTTCCTCAGAGCCCGGGGCACAGCCCAGAACGCCAGAGTAAGGAGCTGGGGGTCTTTCCCGGGAGGCGCGAGGCAGCGCTGGGCGCTCCCGGCCTTCTCCTGCCTTGGGAGCCTTTCGGGTGCTCCGCGCGCCTCAGTCCGGAACTCAGTAGGGGCAGGCTCTCGGGGTCCGACGTGGGGAGAGGCCCGCCTGGAGCCTACCTGCGGCCTTTCGCGAGCCGCGGTGGGCCCGGGCCTGGACGCCGGCGGGGGACTCAGCCATGGGGCGCGCCGTCAGAGGCTCGGGACGACCCTGGCGACTCTCTCCGAAGCCCCGCCCCCTGTCGTAGCGCGGGGCGGGGCGGGCCCAGGGGCGGGGCGGTGCTGGCCACTGGGCGGGGCCTGAGGCGGGGCGGGGGCTGGTCAGTGGGCTGGGACCGGGGGCGGAGCGGGGGCGGGCCAATGGGCAGAACGGGGGCGGGTAAATGGGCGGGCCCAGGGGCGGGGCCCAGGGCGGCTGCGCGGCCGGAGAAGGTGGAGGAAGACGTAGAAGCGTGAGGCCCGGCTGGTAAGTGGGCGCTGACGGTGGTCCTCGGCTGCCGGGGCCGCCGCAGACCTTGAGGCGCGGGGATGTGGCGCGACGGGCGGATTAGGCCCGGCGAAGTGGTGAGGCCGGAACGCCGAGGCTATGGACAATCGGGAGAAATGGCTTCCCTGGGATGTCGCCCGCACGCGCGCTGGGCTTTAGCCGCCCCGCTGCGGGGCCGGGGCCGGGCTTCCACGCCCGGGGAAGGATGGGCTGCGGGAATGGGACGGGGTTCCCCTGGGTTCACGGGCTGGGTTAGTCAGTTTGGGGACCGCGTCTCCTAAGGAAAATGCCCCGATCGCTTGGCGTGGGGGGCATCTGAACTTTCCCCACCGCTAGGTGAGTTGTATGGACTTCAGTTTTTGTCAAGTGGGGACATTACAATATAAAAAACTCCCTATTGATTAGGAGTGATCTCAAGCCCAACTTTTGGAAGTAGTTTCAGAAATGAAATACTTTGCATTTTTAATGCACTTTGTATAATCTATATTTGCGATCCTTTTGGTAGTGCTCCAGATTATTATTTTTTTGTTCCAGTTGTTTCTTTTAGAACTTACTCTCAGCAAAACCATGCTTTTAGAAAACCTAAAAGATGCATCAGGTTTAAAAAAAAAATTATTATCTTAGGCTAACGTATAACTAACTCTCAACAAAAGCATTTTAGCTCGGCCGAGACCGGTTTGACTCAGAGCGTTGGCCTGCGGACTGAAAGGTCCCAGGTTCGATTCTGGTCAAAGGGCATGTACCTTGGTTGCGGGCACATCCCCTGTAGGGGGTGTGCAAGAGGCAGCTGATTGGTGACTCTCTCTCATCGATGTTTCTAACTCTCTTTCCCTCTCTTCCTCTCTGTAAAAAAATCAATAAAAAATTTTTAAAAAAAGCATTTTAGCTTGAAAACTTTTTCCTTCATTGTACTTACTAATAATTTATCAGAATGAAATATAACATTAATACTTCAATGTAATATCTGTGGTAGTTAACAGTGTGCTTTCTATTGATAGATTTTAGCATCAGAACTAGGAAAAATAACAAGGAATGGCTGTGGAAGAACTTCAATCCATAATAAAGAGATGTGTAAGTAATTTCTTCTTTTTTCTTGTTGTAAAGTTAATTGCCTTCCAAAATACTATGGGAAGGACACAGGTTATTTTTAATTACACTTCCTGTCATTCATATTGTTTATCTTCTTTAATCCTTGCTTATTTTGACCTATGGAAAAGCATGAGGACAAAAAGGCAGATTGGATTATTTGTCCACATGACATACTCCTCTAAATAACCTTTAAAATATTTAATACTGGTCCTTACAGATTTTTTTGACATAGAGGATTTCAACATCATTCGTTAAAGTGTTTATTAGGCCGAAACCGGTTTGGCTCAGTGGATAGAGCATCAGTCTGCGGACTGAAAGGACTCGGGTTTGATTCCCGTCAAGGTCATGTACATTGGTTGCGGGCACATCCCCGGTAGGGGGTGTGCAGGAGGCAGCTAGTCGATGTTTCCCTCTCATCGACGTTTCTGTGGAAAATCAATAAAATATATTTTATAAATAAATAAATAAATAAATAAAGTGTTTATTAGGCTAATAAGAATTTTCATATATATGTTTATGTGCAACTTACCTAGAATTTTCAGAGATAAAATAAATCAAGTAGTTATTGCATTTTTATTTGCCTAAACACGTTTGGTTTTGTTTATTTTGTTTTTGCCAGCAAATCTTAGAAGAGCAAGACTTCAAGGAAGAAGATTTTGGCCTATTTCAGTTAGCAGGCCAAAGATGCATAGATGAAGGGCACATAGACCAGCTATTAGAAGTTATTCAAAATGAAAAGAATAAGGTAAGTATGATCTTTGTGTGTAGTTTTCAGTCTTTTACTAGGAAGGGAATAGTCACATGATATTATTATTCATCCATTCATTTATTCATCAAACATTTAAAAATCAACTTAAGGCCGAAACCGGTTTGGCTCAGTGGATAGAGCGTCAGCCTGTGGACTGAAGGGTCCCAGGTTTGATTCCGGTCAGGGGCATGTGCCTTGGTTGCGGGCATATCCCCAATGGGGGTGAGCAAGAGGCAGCTGATTGGTGTTTTTTTCTCATCGATGTTTCTGACTATACCTCTCTCTTCCTCTCTATAAAAAATCAATAAAAAGTGAAAAAATCAACTTAAGCCCAGCTGGCATGGTTCACTGCTTAAGCATCGACCTATGAACCAGGAGGTCATGGCTTGATTCCCAGTCAGGGCCCATGCGCGGGTCCAGGTACTTGCCTGGGTTGTGGGCTCAGTCCCCAGTGAGGGGCTTGCAGGAGGCAGCTGACCAATGATTCTCTCTTATCATTGATGTTTCTATCTCTCTCTCCATCTCCATTTCCCTCTGAAGTGCTATAGTTAAAGTAAAAGTACTTTAGAAGAGCAGGGATTAATCCTGGTTAAGCACCAAAAGTGGCATTTGGATCATTAATTTACTTTGAGAAATATAAATATCAGGAAGGCTAGAAATTCATTTTTGGTGATTAGCACATTCTTTTCCTTTAGCCAGTTATACATAGAAAACCAAATACCAAGTAATTTAGTTTTGACATGAGGAGAGTTGGAGCGTAGGATAACCTAACTGACCAATATCATCCAGCTACAGTTATCTGAGAAGTCCTTTCCCACAATGGAAAAGTATCTTTTTGGGATCAGAAGCAACTTTTTTTCAGACAGTTTTGGCAACACTGCCAAATATTGTGTCTTTGGACTTCTCTTACACAAGGGAAGACTCTTCTTTCCAGGAACACACTTTTTTTTTTTTTTTTTTTTTTATAGTGCTTTTATTTATTATATACAGAAGTTTTCTTTGTTGCCATCACAATCTAGTCATGCTGACCTGTGATTATATCCAGGGCACCTTAATTGTGTTTAGGAAAAAAAATTAGGACATTTTATTTAAAACATTTGTTTGTTTTTTAAATATATTTTTATTGATTTCAGAAAGGAAGGGAAAGGGAGAGAGAGATAGAAACATCAATAATGAGAATCACTGATTGGCTGCCTCCTGCATGCCCCCCACTGGGGATCAAATCCAGGAACCTTCAGTCCACAGGCAGAGGTCCTATCCACTGAGCCAAACCAGCTAGGTTTGGTACTTTATGTGTTTACAGTTCCTTTATAGCCCAAAATAAAGTAAATGTAATGTTTTCTTTAACTCCTCGAGGATAACCTTTGAGAGTACCTTTTAGCTAATAATAATAAAATTAATAATAGCTAATTTTTATTGTTTACTATGTGCCCAATGCTGTCTTAAGTGCTTTACATCTGTTAACTCATTTAGCCTCTCCAGAATCCCATAATATACTACTATTAAATTCATCTAATCTAATACTAGAGGAATATGCAAATTTGTCCATTACAGTGTCATGCCACAGCTGAATCAGCAGACTGTGTCCCCGCCCTCTGCTCAGGCTGCTGCAAGGCCTGGGGTAGAATAGGATACAATAGGAGGGGATAAGAAAGGAGAGGGAGAGGAGGCAGGCCTGCATGCCGACAGGCCGAGAGGAGAAACGGAAAAACAGAAAGGGAACAAGAAAAAGACTCAGGAATGGAAAAGGGGAGGAAACCGCATGCAGAAGGTGGTGACTGCGGGGTTGGGGGGGTAGGGGGGAGGATGAAAGGGGGAGGGCAGAGCAGGTGCACCCTGCGGGGCAAGGCGCAGGTGGCGCTGAGTGCGGAGGCCCACCCAGACGTGAGGAGGCACCCATGGATCCGGGTATACAGAGTGGAGGATGCTCCAAGGCCTTCGCCACAGCAACGCCCGGGCTGCGTGGGAGGGAGAAGGACAGGGCGGGGAGGCCAGGGAAGGGGGTGGTGTCGAACCCCTGGTCAGGACTGAGCCCTGGGATGGGGGTTAACACCCCCCACCCCCACCCCTGCCGAATGGAAGCTTTAAGAAGGGAAGGAGGGAAGGACTTTATAACGGAGTCAGCAGAGCAGAGTTAAAGAAGGAAAGAGGCTGTGTGAGTGAACTGTAGGAGCTATAATGAAAACCAAGTATAGTTGTGAACTGGGGACAGATTTTAGAAGTAGGAGTCAGAAAAGAAAAAAGATAAATGATAGTGAATAACTAGGGAGGTAGATCAATATTAAAGAAGTAAGTAGAGAAAGAGGGAGGAAGAAAATAAAGGAGAGCTGATAGAGCTTAAAAGGAGAATGGGAAGAAGGAGGAAATGGGGGAGGGAGCAAAGCAGGGAGGAAGTAAAGAAAAAAATTAAGGTGGGAAGGAAGGAAAAGGGGAGGGAAAGAAAGGGTAAAGATAAAGAAGGGGGAAAAAAAGAATGTGGGGAGGGAGAGAAGGTAGGAGAAAGATGGGAAGAAGAATGATGGAACAGAAATATGATATAAGAAGGAGCCGAAGCCGGTTTGGCTCAGTGGTAGAGCGGTGGTCTGCGGACTGAAAGGTCCCGGGTTTGATTCTGGTCAAGGGCATGTACCTTGGTTGCGGGCACATCCCTGGTGGGGGGTGTGCAGGAGGCAGCTGATTGATGTTTCTCTCATCAATGTTTCTAGCTCTCTATCTCTCTCCCTTCCTTTCTGTATAAAAATCAATAAAATATATTTTAAAAAATATAAAAATAAAACTTTAAAAAAGTGAGATGGGCTTATTTAATAAGTTAATGATGGAATAAATATTTAGTAATTTTTAAAAATTTTACTGCATAACAAATTCCTGATTAGTAAGGACCTAAATATTAAAATTCAAGCTTTACACACA